CCTGTGTCCCCTGCATCGGCAGGCGGACTCTCAACCACTGCGCCACCAGGGAAGCCCTTCTCCATTGTTCCTTTTATAACTGTTCTATATAGATGTTTTTGTCTTTCTTGGCAATAGTTTTTGATAATAGGCTGTAATTTTCCAGAAAGATACCATTTTAATCCTGGTTTTTGAATTAATTTTCACAGAGTTGAACAAAGAATTTGCCATAAATATTTAAATTTCCTCTGTATTTTAAGAAGGTTACCATATATTGATGTTCCAGGGCCATCTGTTATATTTAACAATTTGTTTCATCTGTGTTTTCAAATCTGTTTGTATAAAATTATTCATAGTGTTGTCTTCTTATTTATGTCTTCCATAAATACTGCAACATTCTCAGCTAGCATCATCAAATATTGGCTCTCATTCATTGCCTTAACACTCTACCACTGAGAGTCATATTAGATAGATGCTAGACCTTTTTTTCTCCATATTTTTAAATATCCTTTGCTATTTTCTTCCTCTGTATCTCTGTGTTGCCTTCTCAGTAATTACTTCAGATATAGCTTCCAGTTTGCTAATTCTCTCTTCAACCATGTTTATTCATCTTTTTAACTCATGAACCTTTGAAAAAATTTTTAGTAGTAGTATTTTGTATTTTTGTAAGTTCCTCTTCTTTTTGTTTTTGCTATGCTTTTTTCTTCTCACATCTTTCTGATTCTTCCTAGTAATTTCTGTGGCTTCTTCAGCTTTGTGTTTTTATCTTTTGCTTCTTTAAAAATACTGTACATAGCTCTTTTGTATTTGGTGTCTGACAGTTCCAGTATTTTAAGTTCTCAGGTTTAAATATCTTGTTTTTGAGGACTCAGTGTATTTTGGTTCTTCACATAGTTGATTGCTGATCCTAAATTTAAATTTTTAAAATCTTAATTTGTGCTAATTCTCTTGTCCTAAATTGGGGTTGCTTTCCTCTGAAGATGATTTGCATGTGCTTCTGGTGGGTGCCAAGAGGCATTACCAAGTGAGGATCAGTTGAACATTCTTTGAAGGTCCTGGCTTTTTGTAGGAATCTTAGTTGAGCTTCTCTTCTTTATTGATGGCCCAAGAGCCTTATACTTTAGTTAACAAGGCTTTGCATAGGTACTCAAGACAGATCTGTCTTGCAGGTTGCTTTCAGGTCTGCTCTCTCTCAGACCTGGTTTTGGCTAATACTTGTTTTTATTTTGTTCATTTTTTGTGTGTATGGTGCTCAGGCATGGTTGTTGGAGAGGATTGCAGTGTTCTTGGAGATTATCCTACTTCCTATAAGCCCAGTGATGCTTCAGAATTTCTGCTTTATCCACTATCTTGTTTTGCAATATGAGGCTACCTTACTGTAATTTCAATACTTAAAGTCTTTAAATTTTTTTTAAGGTTTTTTTTTTGATGACCATTTTTAAAGTCTTTATTGAATTTGTTACAGTTTTGCTTCTGTTTTACGTTTTTTGGTTTTTTGGCCCCAAGGCATGAGGGAATCTTAGCTCCCTGACCAGGGATCAAACCCACACCCCCTGCACTGGAAGGCAAAGTCTTAACCACTAGACCACCAGGAGAGTCCCTAAAAGTCTTTATGTAGCCTATCTGTCTCTCTTTTTTCCCCCACTTGCATGGTGTTCATTATTTTGGATGGTTTTATTTTTGTCCTTTCTTTCTTTCTTGGTTCTGCTAGTTAATTTTTTTTTAGCCCTTTTTGTTTTCTCATTGTTTCTTCCTCATGCATTTATATTTCTATTTTGAGCTCATTTATAGTTGATATTTTCATTAAGTTTTTTCATTCATGGCAATACATTTAATCAAGATTTTCATTTACTATGTGTCAATTATTTTAGCTTGAATTTTTTGTCTGCCTTCTTTATCTCATGTTTCTTTTCTTTTTTCTCTTATACTTTTTTAGAGATCTGATTCCAGTACCTTCTCATTTATGAGTGAGGATAGTTTCTCCTTGACCTGACTTTTAAAGAAGGATATTGTTAGGGAAGGAAAGAAAGTTTTCTGATCTAGAGCAGGAATCTGCAAACTGTGACCTGTAGGCCAGCCACTTGTTTCTGTAAATAAAGTTTTACTGGAATATAGCCACAGTGAATCATTTACATCTTAACTATTAATACTTTCACATTGCAGAGGCAAATTTGAATAGTTATGTCAAAGACTATGTGACCCACGAAGCCTAAAATATTTACTATCTGACCTTTAAGAAAAAGTTTGCCAACTCTTGATGTATAGGAATGCATCTGTTCTTCATACTAAAGCCTTTTATTCTACATGGTTGTGTGAATATATTTAGGTTTTATTTATTCTCATCCAAAAAGGAACTGCAGCTGCAAGTCTTCTCATAACTCTGAATCTTACACTCTCACCCCAACAGACTTCTTCCTAAAAAGACAGTACTTCACAGTGTTTCCTCGTTCAGTCCTGGCTTCCTTGACATACCTTGGGATGTCAAGTCTCCTGTAATCAGTCTCTACTCCCAAATTTCCATGTTGTAATCATGGGTTAATTAATTCTTCCCTTCAAGGTGTGATATCCATTTTGACAATGTCAGCTGCTTGCTGTGCCCAAGATCAGCATGAACAGCTGTCTTCTCTTAGAATCCTTTTTTCCCTATTCCACCCTTCACTGTATTTGTCAACACTAACTCATTTATTATAATTGGGGTTATAGCCACCACCTAGGATCATTGAAGTATCAATAACTTTTCATTCCTGTTTGTATAGAGGAGAAGAGGTCAGGTACTTTTTCATTTCACCATCTTAAAACATGGAGTCTTTTCTGTCACATTTGATATTTTGATCTTGCCCTTGGAACTCTTTTACACTTCTAATTGGATAGTACCTTAAAGACCTGATCTTACCTTCTCCCTCAACACCTTTTGCTTAATTGAGCTTTTCTGTTTCCCTGAACTGAGGGGACTCAGTAGCTTAAGCTTAGTATTCTGCCTTCTTTTCTACATTTATAATCTGCAACCACTTCTCTAACTTTACCTGCATTATAGCTTCACAAGAATTTTTCCTTTACTTTATTCTCAGTCTGGCAGAGAGGGAGAAAAATCTCCATTTTCCTCTCCTAGAGCTAAGCAGCCACTGGGGACTGAATGTCTCACCTTTGGGTATGTAGACGTTCATTTATTCTACGTTTGAGCCAGTTCCTTATCTCTGAATTTCTCTGCCTGGTGTCCTTGACTCTAGAGCCTTTCTGTCCTTATATTTCTCAAGAGAGTAATCTCCCATCTTCTCTAGGGTGGAAGAGTGGTCTTTGTCTTTGTTAGTTTATATCTTTTTCTTTCCTTATCTAATTTTAGTGTGGTTTTGTGCAGGATCAGAGATAAATTCATGTATTTATGAGGCCATATTTAAGCATAATTTCCCACTCTTTGTTTTCCCTTTCAATCATGCTACGCAGGCTCTTCCAGTTTTATATTCCGATTCTTCTTTTTTTTAAAAAAAATATTTATTTATTTATTTACTTTGGCTGTGCTGGGTCTTAGTTGTGGCATGCAGGATCTTCGTTGCAGCATGTGGACTCTTAGTTGCAGCATACGGACTTCTTAGTTGTGACAGTCAGACTCTTAGTTGCAACATGCATGCAGGATCTAGTTCCCCAACCAGAGATCGAACTCAGGCCCCCAGCATTGGGAGCACGGAGTCTTACCCATTGGACCACCAGGGAAGTCCCTATTCTGATTCTTTTATCCAATTTTTACCTTCCTATTGTTTGTTCTCATTTTATTAATTACTGTATTGTTCAGAACAATTTTATTTATTCACTTTTTAAAATATATAATACATACTTGTAGTACAGATTTTTTAAAGTACAATAGGATATATACTGAAAAGTAATTTTTCTCCTCTTACCCATGTCTTCCTCTCTGCTGGCAACCCCTAGTATCATTTTCCCTTGAGCTATTATTTACTTGCATTTTCAAACATTTTTATTGAAGCCACTTTAAGTTGATAGGTTAACTTGCAAATAATTACCATTTTTGCTATCGAATATTCTTTTCCAGGAATGTGATACACCTTTTGTCTTAGTTTCCTAGAGCTGCCATAATGACGTAGAGGCTAGAAATACACAATCAAGGTGGAAGTAGAGGCTAGAAATACACAATCAAGGTGTAAGTAGGGCAATGTTCCTTCTGAAACCTACAGGAGAAGATTCCTTGTATCTTTCAGCTTCTGGTATCCCCAGACATTCTTTGGCTTGTGGCAGCATAACTCCAATTTGTGTCTTTATCTTCACATAGTGTTCTCCCTGTGTTCTGTCTCTTCATGTGGCATTCTTTTTATAAGAACACCAGTCATATTAGATGAGGGGCTTACCTTACTCCAGTATGACCTCATCTTAACTAACTACATCTGCAATGACCTTATTTTCAAGTAACTTCACGTTCTGAGGTACTGGGGGTTAGGGCTTAAACATATATTTTAAAGGGGGAACACACAGTTCAACCTATAACACTTTCATTTCAAATCTGTGTGTGCATTTTAAAGTTTTCTTATAATTTTTAGACATTTCTTATTAAATTTATTCCCAGATTTTTCATATTTTTGTTGTCATTGTAGTCTTTTGCTATATTTTCTAAATAGTTGTTGGTATATATGAAGGTTACTGAAACTGAATATTAATTTACTATATATAGTGAATTTAATTTTTTACTTTTTATAATTTTTCAGGTGAATCAATTTTGCAAGTTAACAGTTTTAGTGTTGACAAATAGTGTTAACTTTACCTTTCCTTTCCAAGTTTTTATACCTCATTTCTTTCTCTTATTTAATACACTACCCTGTACTGTAATAATAGTTGTGATAGTACTTATCTTTTTCTTATTCCTGACGTTAATGTGAATGCTTTGGAATTTTTCCCATTAAGAAAAGTGCCAGGGTTTAAGTTATACTGTGCTTTTTCTCAAGTTAAATAAGTGTCTGTTCCCATTTTATAAAGTGATTTTTATGGAAAATAGGTGTTGAATTTTATCTTTTTAATATCTTTGGAACGATTACTTGATTTTTCACTTTTGACCTATTAATGTATTTACTTATAGTAATAGATTTGCTAATATTGAAACATACTTATATTCCTGGAAAAAAACAACATATATATGTCTTATATTTAATGTGCTTTTGGGTCACTTTTTTTTTCTTCTGGGCCATTTTGATATGTAGAGTTTTTGCATTGATATTCAAAAATGAAATTGGTGTATAGTTTGCTTTTTTGGTTGTCATCTTTATCAGGTGTTGGTGTTAATATTATGTTTGTCTCACACACAAAAAAATGGGAATTCTTTTTTCTTTCATAATGTTTTGTACAGCATGACAGCTGTCCCTTAGGTGTTTGTTTAAATTCCCATGATAATATCTCTGGGCCTTTTCTATTTGTTTTGTTTTGGGGTATTTTCATATTTTTCTGTTTATTTTGTGGAAATTGGTATTTGTTTTCTACATCTTATAGAGTCAGTTTTGGTAATTCATATTTTCCAGAAAATTATGTCAAAAAGTTTATAAAAGTTTATTTAAATGGAGTCCTGTAAAGTTCTTTTATGATTTTTTAGCTTCCTGTTTTTGTCTTTTTCTCTATCACTGTTTCTTCTTACTTTATTTGTACATTCTGAATTCTCCCTCTTATTTATCCAACAGTTTACCTTTTTTCTTTCAGATCCCATTTAAAAGCAGTCGAAGCTATTTGTATTCATAAATATCTGTCTCTACTCATATTTCCTTTCCTGGAATTTCCTAAAGCTTAGGAAATAGGAGATATATGTACCTGGAATTTGCTTAATAGGACACTAGGCCATAAGCTAAGAACCAATCCCATACTAGTATATTAAAAAAAATTTTTTTGATATAATATTGGAAAAATTTACAAGTGATATTTATTTGCAATTTGTTTTAGGAGAAATATGGGGGATGGATGAGCATCAGAAAATCCAGGACAGACTTTTGACACAACTTGAAGATAAATTCACAAAAACACTGACTGAAGAAAAAGTGAATGAATGTCATAAGAAATTTGCAAATGTATTTTCTCCAAACTCAGACTTTTTTCCTTCCAGTCACAATCTCTATGAATACGACTTATTTGGAAAGTGTTTAGAACATAATAATTTCAACTATTATAATAATGAGAGAATCCTTATAAGAAAAGAACATTGTGAATATAATGAACCTATGAAATCATTTGGCAATAGCTTATCCCATCTTGTAGTAACCCCCTTTAAGTGTAATCATTGTGGAAAAGGTTTTGATCAAACTTTGGACCTCATAAGACACCTGAGAATTCATACTGGAGAGAAACCCTATGAATGTAAAAAATGTAGAAAAGCCTTCAGCCAAAAGGAAAAACTCATTAAACATCATAAAATCCACAGTAAGGAGCAGTCTTATGAATGTAATGAATGTGGAAAAGCTTTCATTAAAATGTCAAATCTCATTAGACATCAAAGAATCCATACTGGAGAGAAACCCTATGCATGTAAGGAGTGTGGAAAATCCTTCAGCCAGAAATCAAATCTCATTGATCATGAAAAAATTCATACTGGAGAGAAACCTTATGAATGTAATGAGTGTGGAAAAGCATTCAGCCAGAAGCAAAGCCTCATTGCACATCAGAAAGTTCATACTGGGGAGAAACCTTATGCATGTAATGAATGTGGTAAAGCCTTCCCTCGAATAGCATCTCTTGCTCTTCATATGAGAAGTCATACAGGAGAGAAACCTTATAAATGTGATAAATGTGGAAAAGCCTTCTCTCAGTTTTCCATGCTTATTATACATGTGAGAATTCATACAGGTGAGAAACCTTATGAATGTAATGAATGTGGAAAATCCTTCTCTCAAAGCTCAGCCCTTACTGTACATATGAGAAGTCATACTGGTGAGAAACCTTATGAATGTAAGGAATGTAGAAAAGCCTTTAGCCACAAAAAGAACTTCATTACACACCAGAAGATTCATACTAGAGAGAAACCTTATGAATGTAATGAATGTGGGAAAGCTTTCATTCAGATGTCAAATCTTGTTAGACACCAGAGAATTCATACTGGAGAAAAACCCTATATATGTAAAGAATGTGGCAAAGCCTTTAGCCAGAAATCAAATCTCATTGCTCATGAAAAAATTCATTCTGGAGAGAAACCCTATGAATGTAATGAATGTGGTAAAGCCTTCAGCCAAAAGCAAAACTTTATTACACATCAGAAAGTTCACACTGGAGAGAAACCTTATGATTGTAATGAATGTGGTAAAGCCTTCTCTCAGATTGCTTCCCTTACTCTTCATCTGAGAAGTCACACAGGGGAAAAGCCTTATGAATGTGATAAATGTGGGAAAGCTTTCTCTCAGTGCTCATTGCTTAATTTACATATGAGAAGTCATACAGGTGAGAAACCCTATGTATGTAATGAATGTGGAAAAGCTTTCTCTCAAAGAACTTCCCTTATTGTACATATGAGAGGTCATACAGGTGAGAAACCTTATGAATGTAATAAATGTGGGAAAGCTTTCTCCCAAAGTTCCTCCCTTACTATACATATACGAGGTCATACAGGTGAGAAACCCTTTGACTGTAGTAAATGTGGAAAAGCCTTTTCTCAAATCTCATCTCTTACACTTCATATGAGAAAACATACAGGTGAGAAGCCTTATCATTGTAATGAGTGTGGTAAGGCTTTCAGCCAAAAGTCACACCTTGTTAGACATCAGAGAATTCATACTCATTAGGAATAGAAATTCTATGAATCTTGTGAATATGGAAAAGCCTTTGGAAGGAATTAGCACCTCCTTGCACAGTACATTATCGGATCTAGAGCAGAAAACTGTGAATGTGGGAAAGCCGTTTGAAGAAGTCACATTTTTGACACAGTTCTTACCAAGGTGACAAATTGTATAATGAGAAAGCTGATCGTCAAAAATCTTCAGCAGACATCTTATCTAATGATAATATTTATCCAGCATTATCTTTAAAACCTGAAATAAGATATTTTCATCAGCATGCCAGCATGATACTTTAGCTCCTAGCCAATCTCTTAACTAAGAAAAAGAAGATTGGAGAAAAAAAAAAAAACTCTTAAAATAACCTCTCATACTAGAATAGTTAATTAGAAAATATCTTGTTATAAAATACTTGAGAATAAACAATAATGAATTACAAGACATATATAAAGTTATAAAACATTTTGAAGGTCACACCTGAAATTTTGAGAAAAATAACATTTTCTGAAAAGACATGGTAAAAAATATATAAATTTTCTCACAAATCATTAAAGTACTTCCACTCAAAGTTTTTATCAGTTAGTTATATTTTAAGAATTTCATGAACTGATTCAATATTTTATATGGGAATGTAAAGGGCCACAAATAGCTGAAACAAACGTGAAAAACAAAAGAGAAGATAGACTACTAGATATCATTGCATATTTATTCAAAGCTCATAGCATTTAAACAGTGTGTTCTTTATGAGTAAATAAATCAGTGGAAACAAATTGAAGACTGGAGGAAAGACATGGGAATTTTGTGTATTATAGTGCTATTGAAATCATTGGAAAAAGGATGGCCTATTCAATAAATGGAAGATTCATATGAACAAAAAATGTTAGTTCTTTATACCATATACAAAAATAAAACCCAGTTTGAAGACTAGAATATAAAAATCAAAATTCTATATAATGAAAAAATAGATTATATTTACTACTTTAGAGTAACAGGATTTCTTTAAAAACACATAAATATGGAACATTCAATTCTACTTTGGTGTATTGGCTTCAGAGGCACCCACATATATGCACAGAGATGCATGTGTTCATGCTTCTCTTTATGTTCACTGCATCATGGTTTATATTACTCTAAATTGAAAAGAACATACATTTCCATTAGTAGAGGAGTAGATTGATACAATGTGATTATTTGTATGATAGAACACAATATTTAAAGATACAAATTTGATATATCATTACATGGATAGATTACATAATATTGACAGAAAAAAGCAAAATATACAATGGAACATGGTATAACATTTCTATAAATTTAATAAAACAATGCAAAGAACAGTACTGTGTATTGATCATGGATACATTATATGACATTGGTTGCCTTTTAGGAAGTGAAGGCACTTGTTATATTTATCTGTAATATTCCTTTAATAAAAGAATGAAAGCAAATATGACAGTAGTAACAAATCTGGTTGTCAAAATTATGTTGTAGGTTTTCTTTTTTTATTCTCTCTTGCCTGTCTTTATTTTCTTGTTTCTCTAAAATAAGAATCAAATGGATAGGGACTTCCCTGGTGGTGCAGTGGCTAAGAATCTGCCTGCCAATGCAGGGGACACGGGGTCGATCCCTGATCTGGGATGATCCCACATGCCATGGAGCAACTAAGCCTGTGCACCACAACTACTGAAGCCCATGTACCTAGAGCCTGTGCTCCGCAACAAGAGAAGCCACCTCAACGAGAAGCCCACGCACCGCAACAAAAAGTAGCCCCTGCTCACCACAACTAGAGAAAGCCTGCATGCAGCAACGAAGACCCAACACAGCCAAAAAAATAAATACATTTATTTTAAAAAAAATCAAATGGATAGAGAAAATCTGGACCTATAGAAACAATTTTAACATGGATTCTTATTTTTGGTCAGATACTAACATTTATAGAAAATATCTTTAATAATACATAAACCAAACTGAATTAAGATAATATTTTGCTTACTCCTCATAATGTTAATTAGGATACACACATCAGAAGTATAAAATAGACTTTGTTTGAGACCAATTTTTAAATTTTTCATTTTTAAACACAAGTTCTTCCCTATTTGAAAGCAGTGAAGAAACAAAAGAAATATTCAGTTGTTGGGGTAACTGACTCTCCATTTGGAAAAAAAAGTCACCTGCATTTGGGTTGGTTCAAATTGAGGGATAAAGACCATTCATGCATACTGTAAAATGTTAATGTAAAATATCAAGCCAAGGATAGTTACCTGTATCAGAGCAGAAGCAGTTTCAATGTATTTCAACAACTCTTTCTTTGGTTTCTAGATCCTTACATGGGAATTCAAATGCTGGTGATTTTTATGTGTCAGGTAAGAGCTCAGTGGATGTGAAAGTTCACTTCTTCCTATACCACAGCTGTTTTATATTCAGGCCTTAAATATTTATAGAACTCAAATTTCCTTTTCTGTGAATAGCCCATTCATGTATTTTGTCTATTTTTTCTATTGGGACTTTCAAAAAATGTTTTAATTTAGAAATAATTATAGATTTATAGAAGTTGAAGAAATAATAACCTAGACTACTCTGTGTACTCTATATCCACTTTCCCCTAATGGTAATGTTTTATGTAATTATAGTTATATATCACATTTGACACTAGTGTGATTCACAGGCCTTATCAGATTTCACTGATTTTACATGCACTTCTGTATGTGTATCTCTAGTTCTATACCATTTTATCTAGTGTAAATTTATGTAACTGCCACCACAATCAAGATATAGAACTTGAAACACCACAAAGATCCCTTGTTCTATTCCTTTGTAGTCACAGCCATCCTTCTTTCCTCCCCGTTCCCCACTCCTAATCCCTGCCAACCACTAATCTATTCTCCATAATTTCTTCATATAGGAGTGCTCTATAAATGTAATCACTATGTAACCTTTTAAGATTGGCTTTTTTCACTCAACATAATTCTCCTGAGATAAATTCCACTTGTTGCAGGTACAATAATTTGTTCTTTTTTGGGTAATTTCTGAGTAGTTTTTTATGGTATCGATATACCATGGTTTCTCTAAACATTCAGCCATTGAAAGACATTTGAATTGTTTCCAATTTGGGGTTATTACAAATCTGTTATGAACATTCTTTGCCACTTTGTTGTTTTGTTCTGTTTTTTTGTTCCTCTGTTTCACTTTTCATGTCTTACTGTGGGTTATTTGAGCATTTTTTTAGAATTCTACTTTGACTTATCTATAGAGTTCTTAAGTACATTTCTTTGTATAATTTTTTAGTAGCTGCCCTAGGTATTACATTATACATATGTAACTCATCACAGTCTACTTTTGTTAACATTGAGCCAGTTCAAAACGTTATCTCAACTGAGCTCCTTTAATTTACCCCCACTTTATTGCATAGTTATCTTAAATATTTCCTCTATATACCTTAAGAACTACATGAGATAATGTAGCCATTTTTGATTCAACCATCTAACATAATTTTGGAAACTCAACAGGAGAAAGATAATCTATTAAATGTACCCATATTTTTACTTTATGTTCTTTCCTCACTCCTGATGTTCCACATTTCCTTCATTTCTCTTCTGCTTGAAGAACTTCCTTAGAATAGATCTCCTGACAGATTCTTAGTTTTCCTTTACCTGAGCATGTCTTCATTTCACCTTCATTCATGAAGAATATTTTTTGCTGGTATAGAGTTCTGGATTGACAGTTCTTTCAGCACTTGAAAAATGTGCTACTTCCTTCTGGCCGTCATGTTTTCTGATCAGAAATCTGTCATTTAAATCATTGTTCCTCTGCAGGTAATGTATCATTACTCATGCTGCTTTCATTTTTTTCCTCGTTTTTAGTTTTCTGAATTTTAATTATGATGTGTCTTGGCATGGATTTCTTTGGGTTTATCCTGTTTGGGGTTTGCTTAGTTTCTTGAATCTGTAGGCTTACGTTTATTGCCAAAATTGAGGAATTTTCTGCCATTGCTTTGAAGGCCTTTTCAGCCTGACTTTCCCCTTTCCTTCTAGGATTCAGCATATTTTCCCTCTCTGTTGTTCATATTGGGTAATTTCTCTTGTTTTATAAGTTCATTGTTACTTTCCTCTCTCCCCTCCATTCTGTTCTTGAGCACATCCATTGAGTCTTTTACTTTGGCTACTGTATTTTTCAGTTAAAAATATTCCATTTTGGGGACTTCCCTGGTGGTGCAGTGGTTAAGAATCCACCTGCCAATGCAGGGGACACAGGTTCGATCCCTGGTCCGGGAAGATCCCACATGCCACAGAGCAACTAAGCCTGTGTGCCACAACTACTGAGCCTGTGCTCTAGAGCCCACGAGCCACAACTACTGAGCCCATGTGCACCACAACTACTGAAGCCCGTGTGCCCTACAGCCCATGCACCACAACAAGCCACCACAATGAGAAGCTTACGCACCACAATGAAGAGTAGCCACCGCTCGCCACAACTAGAGAAAGCCCAAGCGCAGCAACAAAGACCCAACAGAGCCCCCCCCAAAAAAATCCATTTTGTTTTTTATATTCTTCCTTTCTTTGCTAAGATTTTCTATTTTTTTATTTGTTTCAAATGTGTACATAATTTTTTCATTAAAGCATTTCTATGATTGCTGTTTTAAATTTCTAGTCAGATTAAATTATCTTGGTGTTGATGTCTCTTGTCTTTTTTTTCATTCAGTTTGAGATTTTCCTGTTTTTTGATACAATTAATGATTTTCAGTTCTATTCTGGACATTTTGGGTGTTGTGTTGTTAGACTAGATTCTTCCTTTATGCAGGCAGTTACTCTATTTAGGTGTAGCTTAGAAGTCCAGGTGGGGGTAGGTGTTCAGCACCCTATTAGGCCCCACAGTCTCCACCCCAGCAAAAGTGGAACACGGCCATCCGCCTCATTTTCAGTGGATGGGGGTGGAAGTTAAGCTCTCCATTCAGCCCAGCTAGAACAGATGGGGAAGATAAAAGTGGGGAAAAGGTGTTGGCTAGCACCACCTTTGTTGCTAGAGTTTGTTAAGTGGGGATGAAAGTTCAGCTCCCTATTGGGCCCTGATAACACTGAGGAGAGTGAGAAGCTGATTATTGAGCAGCACTGTTTGGAACCACCTAGTTCAACCTCAGTGCTTTTGGGCCACCATGGAAGTTCATCCTGCTTGATACTACCCTGTTGGTGAAGCAGAGGCAAACTTACCTCACTGCCACTGGGGGTGGCCCTAATGGGTAATTACTTTTTTATTTTTAGTGTTATATTCTGTATATAAACCATTTGTCAAATATTTGCATTATTAAACTATTGGTTTTTTTGGATGCACAAAAATTTTAAAGTTTTAATGTGGATATTACCTAGTCTATGATATATTTTAAGTTAATTTGTATAAGGTATAGGATTTAGGTCAAGGTTCATTTTTTTTGCCTATGATGTCTAATTGTTCCAACACTATTTGTTGAAAAAAATTATCCTTTGTGTATTCAATTGTTTTTCAGTTTTGTAAAAGATCAGGTGGCCTACTCATGTGAGTCTATTTC